CCTCGCCTCCGCCACCGGCCGGTCTTCCCTCGCAGCGCCGTGATGCGGGGGCCGAGCGGTGAGCGTAAACGGCTCCGCGCTCTGCTGCGGCGTCGTCCCGCCGGGGGAGGAAGTTGGAAGCCTCCGCCACTGCTTTGTTTTCACACGGAGTGACCACAGCAGGGATACCCGGGGCAGAGCCGGAGCCGCACAGCTCAGCCTCCCTCCTGCCCTCAACACCCCTTGCCTCGCCTCTGCTGTTGCTCACGGTGACCCCACTCGTGCCCGTTGCTTCATTTCCCTCGTGTTCCAGCCCTCGAGACACCGTAACAGATTCCTTATGACTTCCCCACGCTGCCTCGTGCTCAGGCTCGGAGGTACAGCCCTGTCTCCCTTCGGCCAGTCTCAGCCCGACTCCTCCAGCGCCCGGCTGGGTGCTGCCCTGGGCTCTGGCCCCTCTGGTAACCCACAAACTTCGGGCTACGCCACGGCCAAGTTTCCTCCACCCTGATTTAATCTGAACATTGTATTTCAGATGGTGTTTTTCTACTTCAACTTCTAATAACGTTTTTCATTCCCTATCTTTTCCAAAAGCAAAGCGGAGCGGGCTGCCCGCAGCCTTCGCTTGGATGGCCCAGGGCAGAAGGTAGGTAATTCAGAGAAAAGGTAAGATTCGGAACGGCATGCAAATCAGCTTCTTCTCAGATGTTTACGTGGGAGCACATCTTATTTCTGCTCCGTAAAGCTGAGTTCCACAGGAGATGTTGACATTTACTGAAGTTTAGGAACGCATGGAAACGACGGAGTTAGCTCCTCACAGTGGTATGATTGGAGACGCCGATGCTACGGCGTCAGCCATGAGCAGAACGATAACCAAAGCTGTAACTCTGAATATTTTTCCTACTCCTTTTACCTACTCCAAGACAAATCAGCCACAAGAACACACACAAATGAAGAATTTGTGTTTTTCTCGAGTCGGACGACAACCCTCTCCTCTCACCACTGAATGTTCATGAGGACAGAGGCTAAAAAAAAAGAAGTCTGAGTAAAGCATGTATGTGCTGCTGCCGCTGCTGCTGGCTGCCACCACTTTGCTTAGCTGTCATTATTAAACATGCTTTCTGGAGACCTCCTGCAGCCTTACCCAGATTTTTAAGGTCTGCCTTTTCAATTCATATAAAAAAAAAAAAAAGTGCTTGTCCCTAAGTAGGAGAAAGTAACTGTAAGTATTATAAAAGTTTAATTTTGAGAATAAAATTCTATGCAACAGGTTTCAAAAGAGGTCATGTTTAAAAAAAAGTTTCCAAGTTCTCACTTATTTCTGGTTGGTTTATTTCACTTAATGGCAAACCAAATCACTTTTCTCACAAATCAAGCATTGTAATGTTTTAGGTCACGTAATTGGAGTAATCAAGTCATTTGATTAAGTCCTCGTTTTAGGAAACTGCATGGAGCACAGCAGTTTTCAAGTAGAAGTTGTTTACTGAGTAAAAAAAAGTTCCAACATGCAAATTTCTTCCTCAAAGTGAATTTTAAATCAACCGTAACCCTCTCTGTAAGCCTGAACAACCACAAGTTCGATATTCCTTGGTGCTAACAAGGTAACTCACCGGACTCCCAGACCAGAAAAAGATTTCATGTGCCAGATACGACTGCCAATTGCTGGTGTCAAAAGCAGCCAACATACTACTGTTCCACCTGACGAAACTCAATCCCTCGGATGTGTGTGCTCCTAGGGGTAAGTCAAGCACCAGTTTACATCATATTCTTTTCACAGTGTTTCACAAATATTTGATACAATAGTATTTTCTACTAAGGTAGGCTTCTTCCCTGAAGGAAACACCATATTTATTTTCTTAAATGTGGGCTGTTACATGTGTTCATTCTCCAAAACGTTCATTTCTAGCACAGAAAACACTTCTTTCTCCTTCTTTCCTGAACTGAATCACACAGCCACAATTAAAAGGAAAGGGCATTGTACTGGTTATTAAATCCTTACAGTTTCCCAACAAAATGCTTGTAATAACACGGGAAAACTTAGGCCAATATACTTAAAAGAGCTTGAACAATCCTGAGTGCTTAATAGCACACCAGCTTCGCTCAGCTACAATTAACAGAAGTGCTGAGCACGCAGCATCTCTTCACCGTTTCCGTAAGATGATGTGTATGGCCAGCCCAGGCCGCAGGAGCTGAAGAGGGATTTCCTGGCAGTCCCCAGCGCTGCGCGCCTGTGGCCAAACCATGCTCCACACAGAGGTGGCGAGGCTCTGGCTGGGCCGCACCGGTTAGGAAATACAGCATTATTTTCCCACGGAGCTTGAGCTAATAAGCACGGATTGTACAGATAAGGCAACATCCGGGTGGGCATCGCGGAGCCGAAAGCACCATGCGGACTGCAGGGCTGGGCAGCCCCTGGTCAGGACCTTGTTGGATGATACAAGTCAGCCAAGGGATCGTACCTCACTCCTCGTACCCAAGTCATACAGGTTCTGTCACTGCCAAAAATACTCCCGCATCCTGTAGATCCCTTTACTCCCCGTGCTCCTCAAGGGGGTCAGCAAAGCCTGTGCCCAAGCATGGTCTTACAAGGAGGGGGAGGCCGTTACACTGTACATGTTAGGCGGGATGGTATTTCCGCAGTGGGGTCTTTCAAAATTTCAGCCTGGCAAGGGACCGTGCAGTGAGCAGATACAGTTCAGCACAAAAACCGATGCACGGCTCTTCCTTTGTCGCCTCACTTTTGAGAACCTTACCAAAAAGTACCATCCGATGCGTTAATAAACTGGGAATTAACACTAAAACAAACCAGAAGGAAACCTTCCCCTGCAGGACAACTGATTTGACGACTACGTAAAAAATGCTGAGCAAACCTAACATATTACTAATTTTAAGTTTTTACTGAAGATTTAGGATGTATTTTTGCAGTGTGGCCGTGAAGATAATCCCACCCCAAGTTTACTATTCTAACCTTTATTTCCTCTGTCGTGAATTCAATTAATCAGTCCTCATACTCAATTAAAGGTCCAGTTCTGAAGCGATTTTTGCAACAAATAATTGCACAAAACCAGAGCCCCTCCATTTATTACCTAAAACCACCGAAACCCGCTGAACACTGAAGAGCATGCGTGGTGTATTTTCCTAAAGCAGACAACTGATGTAGCTAGTTTAACAGCTTTGAACTGCAGTTCCTCTCTTTCCTCACCCTCCTCCCTACCCGAAGAGGGTCTCATTAACTATAGCTTACTTTAAATGTAGTCCTCTGAGCCACCTATAGCATAAAACATGCAATCTCCATATTAAATTGTGACACTTTCTGATTTTTCTCATGTTAGCCGGAAGAAAATGCAGCCCCTTTGGTCACTAAAGCCTTTGACATTTATTTATAAAGGCAATTTTCAAGGCTTTACTAGTGAGCTTGGCAACGTAAAGCCAGTCTTAATCACACTGGATTTTACTGAGGTGAAAACGTGCTCAAAAATAGGAGCTCATTAGCATTTTTCTTCCCCCTGACTTTTCCAACCAGCTCCTCACTTGCAGGAAACAGACCCTTGTTGTTAGCAGACTCTCCAGGTGACATGTTTTAGAGAGACACTCCAACTTTTTCTTTAGAGTGCAAAAGATATTAAGGGATAAGGCACATTCTCAGGCCTCTTTCTTTTCTATAAAGAAAGAAAACCCTGACAGATTGCTGCTGGCATAACCCCTCTCGTTTTTCCTGCAATGACAATTGATCGAGAATGAAAACACTGTCTGGGTCACAGAGGGTTCGGTTTCCTTTGGCAGCAGACTTGATTGGAAGCAAACCTGAATTATTTCACTTCAAAGCAACAAATAAGAACTATTTTTTCTGGAGTATCAAAAACATACACCTTAACCAAAACCAACCTTCACGAGAATCCTCAAGCATAAGATCGCTTAGCCAAAAAAAAAATACCCAACCCAAAACCCAACCCCACCCCAAGACTACACCCACCCAAGAAAACTCCAAAACAACCAAGTTGTTACTAATTCAAGTGTAGAAATTGGTCAACAGTACCTTAAAATCCAGTGGGTGGGGTGGGAGGGATGGCACAGGGGAAGGGTATCACATAGCATTCAGTAATGCCACCTGACAAACTACAATAGATATTCCTAAAGGGAAAAAAAAGTATATGACCATCACAGCTATCTTAAAATCTACAGTCTGTTCTCGTTACACAAAACTTCATTACAACAATCATTATTTTTCTACTGTTTATTTTGTTAGGCGAGATACTTCACATGGCTGCATTTACCTGAGTGTACCCTCCGCAGTCCTACCATCTGAACTCGCATTAGTTACTAGTGTGGCTTTTCTGGGGCCAAAACGAATGTTATTTTTCCACATATACAAACAGCAAACACTGGTTTAACTAAAGCTTTTTTGACAATTTATTAATGCTATTAGTCTTGAGAAACAAAATTAAGTTTTATTCAAAATGTAAAGGTCGAGATAATTTTAAAACGTTTGTGCTCATCCAACAGTAAGAAGAAACAGTCCTTTTTCTGCCTTTTTTCTTCCATATATTTATTTATAAATAATGCACTGAAAAAAATGCCTTGTCTTTCGAGTCACCTGTAAAAGTTTTTAAGATATCCTTGTATCATTGTAATTAAAAGATGGAGATAGCCTCATATTTCATGTTTTTGTCCATTAACATACCACATATTCCACTCAAAATGTTACCTGTGAACGATACAAATGATAATCCTGCTCTGAACTAGCTCATCATTATTTTGATGAAATATCACAGACAATAATTCCCAAAACTTTTAAGGGGGGTGGAAGGGGAAAAACCCACCACACAGAAGTCTTGCACAAAATGCATGCGTGTATTTAAATACCCAAAGTTGCTTTAGGAACAAGCAGCAAAATATAGCAAGGACAAATGCAAAGTTTATTCCACGTATGCTACAATTAATCGGCACGTTAGGGAAGTATCAAAATTTGTACTATTAACAGATGGCAACAGTTTTATTGTTACAATACATTGCAATAGATTAGCCCCACTGGAAAAGGCTTTTAAGCTGCAGACAGTGCAATTGCATTAAATCTTAATTCTTCTGGGTCACGTTCCATGAATTTCTTGCAAACTTCTATTGCATCCTAGGGAAAAAAGTAAAACAAACAAAACAAAACAACACTATAAATCATACTTATTAAAAAAAAAACAAACCACAAACCACAACTGAAGTATGAAGATACGCTTTATACAAACAGCTCAAAATAGATTTTTCCATAAAGGATTACTAGTGTGTCAAACCTACATAAGCTGTATTTCTGATCTGAGTTACCACTATTCAAGATTACTGCCAGTGCTCATATGGACAGCATAAGAGAGCAAAAGCTTTATACAGAACCTTAGCAACAATGATTTTTGTGACCAATTACTACTTTGTGCTGCTTTTCTGACTTTCTAAATGCATCTCTCAAGTTTGCCTTTACTAGAGCTGCTGCGTTCAGAAATTTCTCCTTTGTCTCAAGATGAATCTAAGCTGTGTGGGGTAAGTGAACGATTTTAAGTCCTTCATCTAGCTTTAGGGTACAATCTGGAGAACACATGTTATCAGTAAAACAAAAAAAAAAGCCACATATGAAAAAAGGAAAGCTTCATCCAACTTCTCCCCCTGCCCAAACAAGCAAAAATTGTATGCAGACTTCACAGACATCAGGCTACGCTACTAAATTAAAAGACTTGGTTTTTTTTTTTTTGGTTTTTTTTTTTTTTTTTTTTTTTTTTTTAAATTTTATTTTTAGTTTCTCTGGTTTCTTCCACTGGTAAAGCAAATCCAGTCTGGATACCATAAAATTCAGGTCTATTCACTGCCTTCTCTCAGCTTCAACTTTGGGTCATTCTGTGAGGATGACTGTTTATCCTCCGAATTCAGTGTATTCCTTTCCAATTCAGTTCTCAGCTAAACAACTCCTGACACAAGGAAGCCCAAAAGAAGCCAGGGAACTGGAGAAGAATGATTATTAGCAAGTGTCAGAAAGGAAATCAACTTCTGTCTAGCATGTCACCTATCAAACTAAACCAAAGGAAAGAGCATGAAAAGTTATTCTAAATTTTCAATCTGATGACTTAATCCCCCAGAGAAGCTGTGGCTGCCCCATCCCTGGAAGTGTTCAAGGCCAGGCTGGATGAGGCTTTGAGCAACCTGGTCTAGTGGAAGGTGTCCCTGCCCATGGCAGGGGGGTTGGAACTGGATGGTCTTTAAGGTCCCTTCCAACCCAAAACATTCTATGATCTCATGTACAATTTCAAAGGAGCAGGGGGATATGAAAATCTCAGCACAGAAGAAAAGTTAGTCTGATCTTCTGTTATGGTGAACCCTTCTGACATTTTTATATCACGTTATGATAATTCTGTCATCCAGAGTTACAACATGAGTGTTCCGAAATACCTATTTTAAAACTGAGTCTCACCATTCCACTCACTCTATTCCTCATCCAACCATAAATACAGGACAAGTTCTGTATAGATATTTAAAATAAATTTTTGGAAATACAGCAAGAATTTTGCGTAACACCGTTTTAGAGGGTTTTCTATTCCTACCTCTAAAAAAGAATCGTCAGTTGTTTCCCCATGGTTTATCGGAAACGGCTTGCGCCCATCTGTTGAAACACAAAGCAGGATTGAACAACACATTTCTCAAATTAGAAAACCTTCATTTCTCCACTTAAAACTATTTGAACAGGTTTTCTGTTCTTCGCTTACAAAAACGCTACGTCATTTTTCGTAACAGAATCAGACATGCAGCTAACTATCCACTGGTCTCTCCTGCACTCCTGACTGCTTCAACAGGTATCATTATGTACAGTCTGTTACGATTTAAAAAATAATATAGTCAAAACAGAGTACTTCTTAATATTTTATTTCAAAACTTTAAGGATGTAAGTTGCAATTGTTTTAGCCCTGCTACAGTACTTCAGTCTTTCGAGTAGAGAAGAACAATTTCAGCTACCCTTAATGGATTTACCCAGACAGACAGCTGTATGGCTGTGGTCTTCGACAGCTGTGATCAGGGACTCCATGACAGAACAGAATACCAAACCCACCAGTCTGAAGAGTCTGGCATAACTGAAATGTTACTCTCATTTAAAAGAAGCAGACAACCCCAACAACTTGAAGTGTCAAGTACTTTCACAGCATTTTAAAGTGGTTGATATAGTTGTTTTATTGGGGATTTTTTTCATATTTGTCATAGAATAATGCTATCATTCTCAGCATTTTAAAAATTATTCCATTAATAGAAACAGATTTCAGGTTACTTGTGAAGAGCCAACAGTACGAGAACATATGCCAGGATATCCTAAGTATTTGCTACACCAAATTCCCTTTTGGCTCTGTCCTCCCTTGTAAAGACTGCTCCCTCCCCAAAGATTCCATTGAAGTTGACAATACTTCCAAACTATATTTTCCATAACCAAAAATAGGTTAGATGTTAGAAAACTTTTCAGTTTACTCGAACAGGAGGTTGTTCATTGTTGGAACAACCATGGTTGAAGATACAACAATGCAAAATCCTCAGAACATGCCAACGAAACAAGACTGAATGCCCCGTACTGTTGCAAGCTAAGTTTTATTCCACACACCCTCCCCCCCCATGGATCTTGGCAGAACAGCATTTTAATTCCATGTGCCTATAAATAACGTGCTTTCTATGGCAAAAAATCATCATAAGCATTTAACATGTGTGTGCTTCTCCTCAGCATTTTCTGCCTGCCAAAGCCCACACGCTGGCCACAGTGACTGCAGCCAGCGAATTAATTGAAAATCCTTCTCCCATTTTCCTACTTCTAAGTATTTTTTGCTTTCTTCTGCTGGTACAGAGAGGAGTTATATTAAGAACAAAGGAAAACAGTATTAGCATTCCACTATCCAGTTAAGCTAAATGCCTTTTTTTTTTCTTCCTTTTTTTTTTTTTTACTTTAAGCAAAAAATTGAAGCGGGTGTTACCCTGAGTGATTCTTAGGGAAAACAGCTAAACATGACAATCAGTCTGCAGTGTGCTTTTTTTTTTAAGCACCACAAATTAACGCACAGTGAAAAGGTAACATGGAAAAAGTAGCACACTGTTAAGTAGCAAACTGTTAAGAAGAGCAACCCATCCATCACACCTTGAGATCTAGAGTCATAACGTATTTATATTGCACCCTACAGGAGGTGTCTGTGTGATCTAGTTCACTGACAGACACACAGCATCATAACAATACAGAAATGTGTGCCTATTGCTCATGATTTATTACTGGTAATACCTCTTAGATCACCTTAATATTAACATAAGCGCTATGTATATACCACTTATGCCCGGCGTTATGAGCTATTGTCACTTGTTCAAGGCATTGCTCAATTACACGTTGATTTCCAAAAGATGGAAACATTCTCACCAAAAAATGTTAGGAAAGACCAGTGACTTGCAGTTTTTAAATCCTGATCTCCTTGCTAGTTTTCTGAAGTCCCTGCAGCACAACCTAGTTGCCCAGCAACATGTTTAAGATTGGAGTCATTAAACAATATCTGAGCAGAACTTGGTGCTACACGGTCTGAAGAGGGGAAATAATAGCTGTAATTCAGAAAACAGACTGCTGTTTTACAGTTAACTGTCTGATGACCACAAAAAAGGCAGATGAAAAAATAGCCTACAACAAATGAGTTACAGAATATTAGCGTCTACTTGTATTCTGACTACATGATTTCAGGTTAAACTGTATCATGCTATTTAATAATGTAGCTAATCCTTCTAAAGTGGCATATTTATTCATTTATTAATTCCACAAGCAATTCAGGGATGCAAGTACAACACTAATTTCCCTTCTGAAACCTTGAGCATCCATCAATTCTTCCTTCCTTCCTGTCCTTGTAAATCATGGGGGACGTGAAGAGGCAGTCTAGTATTCTGTATCACTTTATCTTAGCAGGAGGGAATTGAGTGAAGAAGCTCAAAAAAAAGCGGGAAAAAGGCTGCAACTGTTTGACAGAACCCCACATCTCCCTGACCCTATGATGCAGTTGAAAAGAACCTAAACCCTACATTAAACCTAAACCCTACATTAAATCAAGTAATCCCTCTCAAACTTTAATAGTTAACAGTATTATTACTCGTATCTGTTTCAAACAAATGGAGAGAGAGGATAAAAAGTGTTCTTACCCAATTCATAGAGATGACCACCTACGTTAACTAATGCAATAAAGTGAAGATCTACTTTTTCATCTATACTTGGTGCCTGCAAGACAAAACAAAACAAGAAGAAATTGTGTTCAACTCTTATCGCAATATGACTAATGAGAACATAACATCGTAATATGCAAAACTCCTGGCTAAGAGAGATCACAAGTGATAAAGCACGGTCTGGATCTATACAGAATGGTAGAAGCCACACTGCAAAACATTTTGGAATATAAAGAAACTTTCTGCAAATTCACAGGTCAGTAAGAACCCTTTCAGAAAGTATCTGGAAGGATTGTCCATTATAGCTCTATATAAAAGCTTTATTTTTCATTACTGAACTAGAAGTAGTACCAGCTCAAATACATTAGCATTAAAAACAGATACTCCTAGAAAGAGCAACCCGGTCACTAACCCGTCTCCCATAACAAATCGATGCAGGGCTGAACGCTGAGCCTGTAGTATTTTAACACTGCAAATATAAACTTGGTGAAAACAACTTTTCCTCCTAAACCACGTATAGCACAGTTAACCTGTTCCCTTCTCATGGGTAGTTGAAAGAAAGAGATACTCCCAAGGCACAGTTGGCACATCTTAAGTGCAGAGGAACGAAAATAACCACAGGTGCCTAGCGCTCTGTTTGTCTCAGAGACTTCTGAAATTTCAAAGTGGCATCATAGGTGAAAAGGACTGAAGTGCAGTGACAGCATCAAGTAACATAACATAGAAAATGGTTAGAGTTGGTAAAGATCTATCGAGCCTGGTACTTTGCTGCCAACTACAGCAAGCAAATGCTTTTTCAGAAGAAAACAGGGCACGTACAGCATGCCGGCACACGTTCCCAGCATCCATTAAGTGGTTTTTCAGCTTCTGAGACAAAAGGTGTATCACCACTGTTGTGTTCAATAGCAACCGATGGGCTTATTTCCTCAAACTGTCCAGGCTGCATCTGAGCCCTGATCCATAATTTGAGATTGAAATTTGATTGTTTGAAGGAATGGGAAAAAGCACCTGTTTTTCTTAAACTATCAAAAATCTGACATTTGTGAAAACATACGTTGCAGAGTTTTCTTCTATCTTGTAATTACTGTTAGCCTTATGTGAATTTCTTGAAGCATCCCAAAATCTAAGCATGTGCCAGAAAAAGATTAGAGTATAAAATGAGTTGTGGAACCTTACAGTCACATCATGTTTTCAAGACTCGGTTAACAGTTTCATTCTTCCTGACGGTCATGGAAAAAAAAGCTCCAAAGATGATCTAAATTGAAGAAATGTAGCAACCAACCAGAACAACAATGCGGAGGACAAGAAGTCACCGTAAGTCCCTCAACATGTCAAGGAGGCCAAAGAACACAGCATTACAGAGGAACGGCCAACAGCTTACAGAAATTCTACATAGCTAGCTAAACACAAAACAAAGAAGCACACAATCTCCCCTGACTTTCATTTGAGATTCATCTCCACAACCAGTTAAAGTGTGAAATACATAAACACCCCATTTCATATGGAGAAAGAGCATTTGTGCTGATGAAGATGAGGTAACTATCAAAAGGATGACAGGAAATTTGCACCACAACTCCAAGGAGTCTTTTTCCCTTGTTGCATAAATAACTGCATTTGAGAGAGGCCTGGAGCACCTCTCCTATGGGGACAGGCTGAGAGAGTTGGGCGTGTTCAGCCTGGAGAAGAGAAGGCGCCGGGGAGACCTTATAGCACCTTCCAGTACCTGAAGGGGCTACAAGAAAGCTGGGGGAGATTTTTTACAAGGGCCTGTAGTGACAGGACAAGGGGTAATGGGTTTAAATTGAAAGTGGAGAGGTTTAGAATAGATATCAGGAAGAAGCTCTTCACAGAGAGGGTGGTGAGGCAGTGGAACAGGTTGCCCAGAGAAGCTGTGGATGCCCCATCCCTGGAAGTGTTCAAGGCCAGGCTGGATGAGGGGTTGAGCAACCTGGTCTAGTGGAAGGGGTTACACTCCACCATGGTGTGCCCATGGCAAGGGGTTGGAACTAGATGGTCTTTAAGGTCCCTTCCAACCCAAACACTTTTATGATACTACGATTACTGTTTTACAGAAGGCCAAATAAAGCCAAATAAAGGGCATAGGAAAAAACCAACCAAACAAACAACATGCCCAAAAAAGCCCAAAACATAACAAACCCTACAAACCAAGCTACCCCAGTCACAAACTTCCAAGGACTGCAGGTTTCCATACCTTCCTGAAAATCACAGAAGGCAGTAGCTGACAACCAATGGGAATAACAAGGTGCCATGAATCAACCAACAGTTTAGAGGCATCTAAGTCAAGGTGCTACAAAAGGGTGCAGGCTGGCAAGGCCGAGACTCCTTGGCAAACCCGACAATTGCCACCTAATCCTCATGTAGATATATGTCTTCATGGCTGTTCCCTTATCAATTAAACCTACCAACAGGGAAATCTGGGTTTAAGGAATTTCAAGGTTAGGGGAAAGGCTATGGCCAGTTAGTCTCACTTGAGGAAGGAAATGGCTTAACATTTAAAAGCTTGCATCTCAGCACATGGCTACCTGGGCTCAAATTCACAGCATCATAACCACTGACGAGACGAACCTGAAGTATCACTATCTCAGAGGACTTTAAGACTTTCAAGATCTAGTTTTGCTCACGTTTAGAACAAAACAGAGTTGTCCCTTTGACCATTTTAAGCGTTGTGCTCTTTGCCAGTTTCTAATAAAGACCTTTTCTACAAGAGGGACACTTGGCATGCTTGGGATGCTGAGCCTATATACAGCTAGAAGATGGATAGGGAAGCTATCCTAAAAATCATGATTAATTTTTCAGTGAGTTTACTTGAAGACAGACTCCTAGAGAATCCTGCTGAGTGTTTATAGACATGCCTGTAATAAGTAACATGTTTCCATTAAGTGCTATTGCCAAAACCCATGAGAAATATTGTGGTTTTACATTTTTAATTCATCAGCCTCATGGAGAGAATGAAAGTGCCACACCATTATTAAAGTTTCTACTCCATGTTCTAATGTAGAGAGTCTCCATCCCTTGTGACCTCATCTAATGCAGATAGTAGTAAATTTACTACAAAGTAGATCTATTTCTTGAAAAATTAGGATTTCAATCATATTTTACAGACAATTATTTGCATAATTACAAGCACAGAGAAACAAGAGGGTCTGAATAGTCAAGATGACCTAAAACTTATTAATATAAAAATCTGCTGCTTATGACTTAGGCAAAGAAGTAACTGGATAGAGAGCAGCCCTGAGGA